CAGGGAACTTCATTAATTCGTATACGGGTATTACAGAGTTGTCATGGTCGAATTTGCCTATTCTCTTTTTCATTTGAAAATCTATTGTATTAAATAAAATATTATGTATTATTCTTTGATTTTTAAAATATTTCGAATTGAAGTGAAAATTATTTTGATTATTTTCATTTTTAGAAATTTTAATTATAATTTCAATATTATGCTCTCTGTAATATATTTTCGTTTAACTAATTTTAATTTTCATTATCTACCTCGATTTTCATTAAAATTCTAGAATTATCTATTGTTATTATTGTAGTATTCATAAATTTTCAATAAAAGAATTTAAAAAAAAAAAAATATTTTTGTACAAAAACCAAGTTAATAAAATTGAAATATTTCTGTATTAATATTTAAATTATTATACAGTATTATTTTTGTAATTATAAAATTATTTTAAAATTTTAACAATGTTATTTGAATTTCAGAAAATTTTATATTTTTTCTTTAGTATAATCGTATTTCAAAAAGTATATAGTAGATTTGTTTACTTCACCTGTTTAACATTTTAATTGATGCTCAAATTATTACTTTAGTAATAAAATTTTTTAAACTATAAGTCTTTAAATTATAATATGTCATGGTATCTTTTTCAAAAATAAAACAAAAAAAAAAGGATTATACTTAACGTACATTCTAAAATAAAAATGCTTTTGTATGCGTTAACGTGTATAAACAGTTAATAGAAGTTAAGAACCAATTAAAATTTGAAATTCAATATATTTAATTCAAATCTTTTAAAATTATTCACGCTTCCTGTTTTTGCAAAAAAATTTTAAGTTGAAAAAAAAAAGGAAGACAACAACACAACACAACTAAACATTTATTAAGATGAGAAACTTTTTTTTGGTATTTCTATATTCGTATAATCATTATCCCTTCAGTATTTTCAGTATTAATATCAACAACCTGATTAAATAATAATGAAATAAAATATTTGATGTACGTCCATGTATATACATATATATACAGAGTGTATTATGTACATATACCCATACTCGTACGTCCATCAGTATAACATTATTTTTATTGTTTAATAAAGTAAATATTTTAAATTGGATTTAGCCTAAGGATATATACAATATACAGAACGTACGAGTATATAACAACTTACACGTTATTTTCATTTAGAATTTTTAAATGGCACGCTTTACTATTACATTAAAAAGGAATAAAAATTCACTTTGTTTTCTATAAATATAATATAAATGGGGATTTATTATAAGGAGGCAATAAAAATAATATCAGGTTACACACAATTTTTTTTTTTCTTGTTTTTTTTTTCGAAAATGACTTTGACTTAATGTTGAACACATTTGTTAAAAAATATCCTAGAGCAATAAAACACCAGTTTTTTTGTAATAATTTGAAGGAAGTTTTGTTACATTAGGATTGCGTGTAACAGGATTACGTATCCTGTCAAAACAATATTAAATATTATAATATATATATATATATATATATATATATGAGTATTATTAACTCTAATTGATTATAATTTCGTTTTTGAATTTGTTAAGAAATATCCATAAATGAAATTGATATTTCAGGGAAAATAATAATGAAGATTAATTTGTTCTTTATATTTAGATCACCTGGTTTCTTTCTCTAAATTTGAAGGACAATGATTTTATCATTTATTTTTAATATTCAATAAACAATTTTCAATATATTTAGAGATTTAAAAATCATACCTAATAACTTTCAATTGTTTTCTATGATGAATTTGGATGAGAAGTGAAAAATAAGTAGTTTTCACTTTAATTAAATTTAAATTTTTATTTGAAATTTTCAAAAATTTTACAAAATATTTTCTTTTGATTAGTTAATTCACTTCGTTACTTCACTTCTAATTTTTAATTTTTTTTTTTCTAATCAAATTCCTTAATTCATCTAATGCTAATTAAAATTTTGAATCATTGAAAGTGATATATCCATTAAGGGAGAGATAAAGTGAAACTATTGTTCCGATTCTTTCAATTTTGTTCCGATTTTATGAGCGACACTCCTTTCTTCTCTATAAGTGAAAATATAGTTATTGGGATTTTACTCTGTGATTTACCGGATTACTATGATTTTTACAATTATTGATCCATCTGGTGTGTCTACAAAAGTAAAGTCGGTGATAAAGTTCCAGTAATAGCAAAAATAATGTTGAATCATTAAAATGGATAGTAAGTGAATATTGATTATATGAGTACAGCTTTAGTTCCTCAATTACTCTAAAAGTCTTCTATTATTTAGGGTGAATTAAATAAGTAAATTAAATAAGAAGTCTTTTATTATTTAAATGTAGTCTTTTATTTGGTTAGGGTGAAATCTAATATAAATTTTTATCAAAATAGGCCAATTGACTAGTAAAAAATAAATTTTCCTTCAAAACGCTTATAAAATTAGCGTCATTAGAAAATTTTTTTTAGCATGAACAACATGATTACTAAAAGTTAATTAATTTTATACGCATTTTAATAAAATTATCTTTATGAAAAATTTAATTATTCATCAGTAAAATGTCCGGCTTCAAAGTATTATATTTTTGAACTAATATAATTGACATAAATGAACATGTGATACACCGTTGGAAAATTCAGAAAACACGAAAAACTTTTTGTTGGACTTAGATTACGTAAGGTTAGATTAGACATGACATTATCCTATGTCATGAACAACAGTGAGCCTAAAAGTTAATCTATTTTACTCCTAAAACGCTTCCTTGAGACCTTGCCTCCTACAAGAACACAAAATCTACGAGTGCCCTTTCTTCCAGGCGAACCCCCTCATGTGACTCCTGAGTCGGCAGGGTTCGATTAATTGACCTATGACCATTTTTACCTGGTTCCTACCCATTTCTCTTGTTTTGCTAAACCACGCCTGGTTATAATTGCCGAAAACATTGTTATCCATTTCGGTGCCCGACGAAGCCCTGTGAGCCCGGAAAATATGGTAACTTGAATAATATATATAAACATTGTCATATGGGGTATGCAAAAATATTTCTTGATGATATTTTTAAATTTCGCTCGAACATACTTTTAGATATTTACCAGTTAAGAGCGCAAAATAAATTATATATAAAAAGAGTTTTTTTAATAATATGCTTTTATGCCCTCTTAAAAAAACAAATTGAATTTGGAGGAGATTACCTCTAACTTTATTCCGTAGGGGGCATAATTGCATATTATATAAACAATTTCTTTACACCTTCAATTAATCAGTTTCTAAAACCTAAATTAACATGTCAATGTTGCTTGTTTATAAATCATCACATTTAATTCTAACTTCCTTATCAGCTACAATCTTTTATATCATATTTTATAAAACATTTTTGACAAAATTTAAAACTTTGCAATTTTAAAAGACACAAAAAAAAAATATCCCTTTCAAATTTTTTGATATCCTTAAATGTTTATTTTAAAAATATTTTTTTTAAAAATTGAAGAAAAAAAAAATTCTGAATATTAAATAAATATTAATTTATCCTTTTTCCAATGTTTTCTTTGGTCCATTCAATTATTATTTTCTTTTTGATGCCTTTTTCTAAAACTGTTGTGTTGATGAGCATTTTGTTTTCTCTTTTCTAAAAATAACATTCTACTTAATGCGTTTTTTGCCTCTAATACTTTTGATTTAGAATTACTATGAATTTATAAAACTGGACAGAATCCATGGAATAAAATAAAATTCCATCATAATTTTAAATTAAGAGATTCACACATATGAAAAACGGTGATGTTGATTCAATGATTATTTTCTATTATTTTTATTTTGTTAAGGAATTTATTTTTTAAATTAAAAACATTTTGTTTTTTGAATAAGAAAAATATTCGTGAAATGTAAATAGAAAGGACATCTTATATAGTAAAAGAAAAAAGGCAAATAAATAAATATTGAAAATCTGCAAGAAATTCTAAAGAATTTTTAATGTTTTTGCATCTCTTATTGACACATGAGACTTTTAAGGTATAAGATGAACGATGTTTGAAGGAATTTGTCTTATTTTTTTTTTAAAGAAAAGATAAATAAAATGTAAATATAAGAATGAATTTGCAATTTTCTTAAAATAAACAAAATTTAAAAAATTCTTATTTTATTGCTAGAAAAATTTCTTGAGATTAAATTTTTAAATTGATTTTTTATTTTATTTTCTTTTTGGTTTTAAACTGAACAAAAAATTTCAACCGCTAACTAAAATGGTTAGAAAATCGCCACAAATTTTTTCAATATTTTTATGTTTCTCAATTATTTGGATGTGAAGATTATAATAGGAATTGCAAATGCATAAAAATGTTATGTTATGTGTGTTAAATTGAATGTACATAATAAGTAGTTAAAAAATTTACAATTATTCATTTAAGAATAATAAATTTTTCAATTAAAAAGTCAGAATGAACTTGGCGTTGGAAAGGATAATCCTATTTTCACACATTGCGTTGATTATTGTTCATTATTAGTATAGAAATTTAAAATCTACTAAAAATATCATTGGTGTTATAATCAGCGTAACAAAAAGCAAAACTTATTGTTCAGTACCAGATGAATATCATTTTTAAGTGACCGCACAGAGCACCTAATTAAACACAATTTTGAATGTGTTAGATATAGACATACTGTTGTTGGATGTCAACTAGTTGGATTCGATATTTTTAATTAAATTAGTTAGAATTTCTAAAAACTTATTATATAAAATTTAAATTTTTATTTTATACTGGAAGAAATAGAACGCATAATTTTTAAATTAACACGACAACATTAATTAAATTGTGTTAATTTACTATAATATAAAAATTTATTTAAATAAATAAATTAAGTTGATCCTTTTTATAAAATTCAATTTAAATTTTTTTAATCTTGTTATATTAAATCTATTATACTCAGAAACAGTACACAATTTTATATTAATTTGACTTGCATATATATTAATATTAACTTCTTAATAAAATCTTATTAAATTTTATTTTCAGTCTCAAGATTAATGGGAAGTTCAGCAGGAGGTACAATGGGACATGCAATGAGTAATATGGGAAGTTTAGCGGCATGTAGTGTCACTGACACAAAACCCATGCAATTTCCTTTAGCTCAAAGAAGAAAACGTCGAGTGCTCTTCACTCAAGCTCAGGTCAGTAAAAAAAAAAAAAAACCAAAAATAGAAAAAAAAACAAAATTTTATTTTTAAAGGAAATTATGCTTGTGTATGTCAATTTTATATATTTAATTCACTATGATAGTGTTTGTAAACCTGTACATATAGTATAATATAATCTATACTTGAATCCTATACAATTATAAGAATGATGATTGGCTTCACTTTTATAGCCATTGTTATTATAAGAATTTAAAATTTTTGTAAAAAGAAAAAGGAAGAGAACAAATAAGAAAAAGAAAATGTCTGAAGTTATTTTTAATATTTAATCAACTTAATATAAGTATATGTATATATAGCAAAATATATGGATATGTATGAATATAAACGCTCTTAAATTATAGTTACATACACGCAAAATGACCATATATAATTTTTAAAAACGTCAAGATAATTTGAAGTTGAAGAAGCTATCCATCCATTCATTCACTCATTTATCTATCTTGTATTATAATACGTAAATAGAGTTAATTTGATGACAACATATAACAGATACATATACGAGTTCATACACACATATTATATGTATATTAAATAGATGAATGAAATAAAAGATGAATGGTTATTTTTGTTAAATCTTGACTAAATGGAAAATGAATATTATAGAGAATGAGGCTGAATTTTAATTTTTGTTCTTAAATGTATGATTCAATATAACAAACTTTCAGTACAGCTATATACATACATAAAATATGTTTTGTAATGATTTTTATAAATTGGTCATTATGATTTTTTTTTTCTTTTATTTATTATAAAAGTAAATTTGTTAGTTGACAAATTGTCGGAAACGGAAAATAATCAAATTAAATCTTATTAAATGTTATATATACATGTTATATGTAAATACAGAAGAGAAAAAAGCATAAAATTATAGCGAATTTTAAGAAATTCTCTATATTTTATTCTCTAAATAAAACTATATATACCAAATTTCAATTTAATTGTTGATTAAATATTTTACATTTTATATTTAATTTTTAAAGCTAATTGAACGAAATTTTATGGTTTGCTGTTTATATAAATTGACTAAAATTTTCCATGAAATTCTTAACAAATAATTAAAATACGCGTTTTTTCGGACCGAAATTTATGAATTTGCAAAAAAACAGCAAATTTGAAAAAAAAAAATTGCTGCTCTTTTTGAAAATTAAATAGAATTTTGTGCAACAAAATTAATTAGGATTTCCGGTTATTTAAGAAATTTTATTCAAATTTCTTTAATAATAAGACTGTATAAACTGTACTATTTTAAGGTACAAATATATGAATTAAGTAAAACAAGATAGTGATTATCTTATTCATTGATTTTATTAACGTATTAGCACAGACGCAAAAATGTTAAAAATCTATAGAAAATGTTAAAAATTCTCTTTAAACTGTGAAAATTATTCTTTTAGTTTATAAAAAAAAATTAATAAAAAAAAATAGGATGTGGTCAGCCCTTAACCGACCACAATGTGTATTTTGTAGTTTAGCAAAAGTGTTACAAAAGGTTATTAAAATGTCTTTTGACCACTTCCTTTGAGTTTTAATGAAGTTAGTAAGGTTTTACTTAACATACCTAGAAAAATGTAAATTTACCTCTTAACAGAATTTCACTTTAAGGCCCGCCGAATTAAATATTTGTCAATAACTTCGATAGCAATCTGAACTAAAATATTATATTTCAACATTTTACTCCAATTAGTTTCTTAAATATGGTGCAAAATGTAAAATCGGACCCTAGTTCGGTTTCCGACACCTGATATATCAAACAATGAACAAATTATAACAAAAATGTTATATTAAAATAAAAACAAATTATAATACCCTGAATTCATATATTAAATTTCAAGGAATCGGTTGATTATGCGCAAAAATGTATATTTTGTCGGTAGTGAAATCCAGTTTCTGACATCTGGTCTCTTTCAAAAATTAGTTGGTTTATCGTACTGTCGAACGAAGCTTATATATAATGTTTCAGGTTGAAGTTTTGATTATTTTTTCCAAACTGATCGGAAATGTAAAACTAACCCGCAAAAAAGTCTAATTCCCGAGTCCTGACATATCTCAAAAGTTGATCAATTTGTCAAATTTCATTAAAATCGGTTCAATCCGAAGTTGAGATACACGCGTGCACACGCAGACTCTTAGACCAATAGACCGAGATCTTAATAAAAATAATTTATTAACGTTTTTCTACTATGGAGAATTGTGTTCTTTTTACCGAAAACTCGATATTCGAAATTTGGTGTGATTACATAACCTCCCTTATTGTATGTAATGCGATCGGCAAATATTGTATTGAGAATAGTTTATTTTAATTAAATTCAAATGAATTTTAATTATCATTCATGTTCTGTTAGTCGCATCACATATGATTATGCCTTTCTGACAGTCATTGACGTTGAGGCAATAAAAGTGATTTAATTTACTAATAACTCAATGTTACAAAAAAAATGAAAAAAGAATGGACGTCCAACTGCAAAAGAGCGGACTATCGAATTCAAATACTGAGGTGATAAAAATTTTCTATATCAGAGAACGTGTATGGGAAGTTTTATAGAAATATATTTATATAAAAAGTTTTACAAAAAGTTTTGAGTTAAATGTTAATTTGAGTCCCCTTTTCCAGGACTTCCAGGAACTTTTGTAGATGCGGTATAAAGAAAACCCATATCCATAAGCATAATACTTTACGATATGAAAAACAAAACCTACTATGGTAGCTATTTAGTTTATTATATCAAGCAATGTAGCGAAATAGTTTCAACCATTGTCTACAAGGGGAAGTTCGAACTATAGACCCAACCATAATTAAATATAATTATTTTTTTAAATTTCAGATTTAATTGAAGTTTTTGGAATTAGATGGAGTGATGTTATGTTTATAAAATTATAAAGAAACGTAGGACATGAATCTGTTAAAAATAAAAAAAAACTATATATTTATTTATTGTCAACTTGAAACGGAAATTTTTAATTAGAACAAGATTTCACACCCTGTGGTCGGTATTTGACGCACTCTAACATATGAAAACCGATAAATATCTTTAACATACACTATTGTTTATCATCCTCTGTTGCTGCAGTATTACTATAATTCCTGCAGTTTTTTCTAAACTTTTATAATTGCAATTACATAAATAGAAATGCAAAGAGAAAATATTCAAGTAATCACAGAGAACAATTCATGTAATCGAATGTAATAAAAGAACAAAGGAAATAAATTCAATGAAATTTGTAAAAGAAAATTCAAACAAAGATCTACATACATTATAGTAACAAAAGATATTACCCTAAAAAAATACTAAAAAGCATAACAGTTTATCTTCAATATTATATAAGGTTTAATCAAAAATTTTGCTTCGTATATGATGGAATTTAAAATTTGTACTTGTTTTTTATTACATAAATATTATGTAACAATATCCATGTTCCGTGCTTTTGAATAAAATATCAAGAAGTTCTCAACTTTTTCAAATAAAAACAATCAAGTAAAAAATTTCAATATTGATTTAAATCACGTACGGATATTGAATAAATTTTGTACATTCATACATATATGTACGTAGATTTTACAATGTCGAGGCATTAATGATATTATTATTATTTTTTATTAATAAAATCAGAAATATTGTATATTGAATACATCAAAAAAAGAGGAAGAGACAACGACAACTCATCAATACAAAAGAACACCCAATTCTTTTATTTTTTTTTTAATTCTATTGTATAGATATACGAGTATCTTTAAAAAAAAATCTTCTGTGTAAACATATATCAAAGGATCAGCATCAAATATCAGATGGTTTCGATATGATACATATATTATATATTATGTGCAGAGAGAATTGCCGAAGAAATAAAAAAAAAATATTAAAATCATAATAATAATTTTTATGAGTCTTATGTACTGTTAATATATGTGTTTATCCTGAATAATAAAAGGGAAGAGAAAATTGTATTTTAATCGCGGAACCCGCATTTATAATTTTTTTTTCTTCTATTTTTATTTCTTATTTTTGCTCCTTGAAAGTAAATATGGCCCATATTCATTTATTTCATTATGGATTTCAGGGAATAGAAAATTCTATATATTCTATTGTATCATATTTTGAGCAAATTTCCAAGAAATATAGAATTGAAATTTGCTTATTAATTTAATTTTTTGACTCGCCAGTGACGAAGCTTATACTTTTATATACAAACGAATAATTGCTAAGAAAATAATAGAATATTCATCTAATTCGCCTGTAAGAATTATAGTTCCTCGTAGTCTTAGAAATTTATAGTTAATTTATCGAAAGGTAAAATATGGCGACATAATGCCGTAAAATAGAATACTTAAAAATGGCTACATCAGAAATTAAATTAAGCCATTTGAATCCTTGAATTGAGAATCTTATTTAGGTACTAAACTGAAGTTGGAAATGCTTAAAGTGTCTAAGCAATTTTTATAAGTAGTTTATTTTGTAAGAACAAAATTTCTATTTACCTGGACTCTGAAAATATCATCCCTCTGAAAAAGAAAAAATTTAGGCTTCTGGAATTTACTATAATAAATCATTTGTGAAAATTTGGTGAACTTAGCTCATTTGGTTTTTGAGTTATTGCTGGGACAGACGGACGGACAGACAAAGCTAAATCAACTGAAAATTCGACGCTGATCAAAAACATACACATGAGTCTATATCTAAGACCGTTATTTCTTAACGTTACAAGCGGTAAAGCAAATTTTGTATACCCTTCGAACATACGTTCGTACGGGTATAATGAAGGTGATTAAAAATTAAAATTATTATTCGAGAAAATGGTGGAGTCAATCATTTCAATTTCATTACAATCACATTAATATATGATTTTTAAATTCTGAAATAGTGAACTATCAATGAATATTCAAACAATTTTAGTTGATATTTTTGCGATTAGTAAACCACAGTTAATTAAATGTCTTAAATTTCAAAAATGTAAGGTGAGAAGTAAAAATTTTAATA